CCCCAAAACCCCAAAACCCCAAAACCCCAAAACCCCAATCCTACCAATATCATTGATTTTAGAAGATTTTATTTATGGAAGTCCTATAGAAGAGTTAAATGTATAGTCTCCATCTTTTGGAGTGCAGAGGGACTTCCTCTTATCCATGAACTCAAATACCTTCCTGTTCCCAGTGTTAATGTTCAACGGGGAGACCATACTCCTCCTATCAATTGAGGTTTTATTAACATTGTTCTTACTCCGAGCTTCCACAACAGACCTCAAACGTCCTCTAAAATTGATCTTCTTATGCTTCTTCTGGCATTCACTTGTTGTTATTGGCCGAGTAGTCATTGACTGGTTCAAGAACTTTTCAGTGATGTTAAATTTACTAGAGATGAAATTCAAATGTACCTTTCCTTTTCTAGCACATTCAATTTTGGTTTTATGATGTCGATCTTCTTGGGTTGTAATTTGACAAAATCAGTGATTTGCTTAGTGATGCTCGTACTCTTACTCTTGCTTCATTTGTCAGACTTATTATATTGGTATAAGTCAAGCTGGTTGAAATTAAGTGTTCTCAATGCTTGCTTCATCAAGTCAGGATTTTTCACAACATTTTTAGCAATAACCTATGTCATAAATTAGGATTATTACAATTTCTTTGTTCATGACATTCAAATATTTTATATATCTATTGATGATTTTGTCCTTGATCTCAATTTCCTTCTTCCTAAGGAACTATCAGACTGATCTTACATATTATCTTTATAACCATCGAAATGGCTATTTTGACTCTTATTTTTCCTCATGCTATGAAAATGTTATGACAAATAATACCCATTTCTTCTCTCGCTCTTCAAATTCTATGAGAAGTTCTTTGATATGATCTTGGTGGCGAACCTTTTCTTCTTCATATAATTTCTCAAATTCCCTAGCTCTGAGCTCAGAATTTCTCCAGTCATCAGTCATGCTCTCGCTTACTTCTTTGGCAATTTGGTAATTTCTTTCAAGGTCTTCGTATCTTTCATTCAGGTCTATCAGTTGATCTCTGACTTCAGTATGGTCTACTGATCATAGATGATAAATACCTTGCTTGTAAACGCTCTTTTGAAACAGAGTTTTCCCTGATTCCATCCCAACTATCTCTCGAAGGCCCATCTCTCCCTTAAAGTTTATCCTAACCCGAGCTCGGATGTAAGAGAGTAAGGTTTCTTGGTCTGTAAACATCCCAATGAGTTTACCTATTTGTTAGAGGCCATTCTTACCAATGAGATATTCAGAGCCCATGAGGTCCATCCTGAGGTCTCTGAATTGGTTATTGAGGTTTTTCTATAGAATTTTATCAGCACACCTACCAGTTCTTTCTTGTACATGATCCCAACATTCATAACCTTCCTCTCAAAGTGATCTTGAATAGTGTTCTTTATATTTATAGCTAAGTTCTTCTTTTCACTTTCATGCTGCTTGTTGATTTTTGCAATTTCCTCCTCAGCTTTAAGTCTGAGACTCTTTTCTTTCTGCAGCTGGAGCTGCAGTTCATGATACTCAGTTTGTAACTGGTTGAGCTCGTAAATTTTTCTGTGGAGCATTTCTTCAAACTCATTATTTAGGAGAATGGAGTTCTACCTCAAATTCTTCGATCTCTTCATCATCGCCTTCTCCTTCCTTCTCTCGCTTAAGAAGTTCCATTACATTTTCATTATATGAGCCCTTTTGCTTGTCTTCTTCATTGTTGGTCGAGATCATCTGGCTAATAATTTTATTCTCAGCTTGAGCGGTACGTTTAATATTATCCCAGTACTCCTTGATCTCAACATCTGAGAGCATGTCTTGGTTCTCTTCTCCTTCGTCCATTTCTTTAAAGATCTTTTGCATTTCTTTCTTCTTATTATATCCTGTTGCCACGAATTTTATTCCATCGTGGCTTGAATTCTCTGATGTCTGTCTTCTTCGATGTCATCTATAGGCCCTTTCTCTTCTCTCTGATCGATACTATCTCCAATAGGAATTTCAAGTTGTTTTGGGCTATCCTCCATTTAAATTTCAATTATTGTAAAATGTCTAGGGGTTTTGGGGTTTTGGGGTTTTGGGGTTTTGGGG